CGGACCTCCAGTCTGCAAGGAGAACGCAGCCACACGCAGATGACGCCATCCTCCCGCTCCCCAGCGAACGGGACTTTAACACTTTTCTCCCAGCGCTATCAGAACCCAGCCCTCCAGCCCCCACCAAGGGAAGAGGCTCTGCCCACACCCCGTCTGCAGAGTCAGTCTGCACTTACTGACCCCCCCTCTCCCCCCCAGCTGAGCGAGGTACTGCTGGAGCTCCTTACAGCTGCCACATGAATCATATCCACTTGGTCACCTTCGCACTGGGAAAGCCTTTAGACAATTAAAATCCCCTTCAAAACGACAAACTAACACCTTCCTGCTCCGAGCCCGGCAGCAGTGCAGCCACCAGCTTTCTGGCTGGGGAACCCCCAGGTTTCTTTTCCTCAGAAAAGATTCTCTGTAAGAAAAGCAGCCGCCTAAAATGGCCCTTTTGGTATTGCGAACGGGTCACGGGGAATTAAAAGAAACAAACTGGATTTTAGGAGCAGGGACTTCAATTAAGAAAGGGGCTTAAGGCAACACTGCTGTTTCAAAGCACTGCCTTTACTCCGTCCAGCTCTTTCAGACAAGCCCAAGGTGGCTGTGCCCCAGCAGCGGTCGCCCTCTCTGGATTTCAGGGGAGATGCTCCCAGCAGGACTCCCTCCCGACCTCCCCTCTGGCTGCACCCAAGGTTTGTATCCAAACACAAGCCAGGACAGCGGGGCTCGGCCAGGCAGCGCCTGTTCACACTCACGGCGAAGCTGCCTCCTCCTGCCCCTACCCACACGGAGCAGCATCAGTCTCACAACTTACCGGACTGGGAGTCTCCTTCATTTTCTGCTCAGCTATTTTGAGGTTCGATTTGTACGTGTCATTGTCTGGATCCAGCTCCAGGGCTTTCTTGTAGTAAACAACAGCTTCTGTGTGTTTATTCAAGCTGGAGAGGGCCAAGCTATCCCGGGGGAAACAAAAAGCAAAAGCCCCAGAGTTAGATAAGCCCCCGCAGTCTCCCTCCACCCCCAGCAGAGGTGAAGCACTGGGTATTCCTGCGTGGCATTCTAGGGCAGACCACCCCGGCAGCGTCACCACCGCTGGGCATTCCGAGACTCGAATTCCAGCCCAGAAAAACCTGCTCCTCCTTACCCCATCCTGCCATAAGCTTTGCTGTAGTTGGGATCGATGCCTATGGCTCTTTCACAGTCTCTCACCGCTCCGGCATAGTTTCCCAGTTTACTGTACGCAGCAGCTCTGGAGGGAAGGGAGAAAGATGGGCAGAAAAGACTTAGATCAGCTTGAATCCGCTGATGAGGGAACAGGGGTGACCTCCTCTGCAGTCTCCCGCTGTACAAGGCAAAGTCAAGCGTGAACTTGACATCAGGCCAGGCCGCAGCGGGGCGAGCAGGCTGCTATCCAAACACCCAGCTCCACGTCCTGCTCCTACTGCAAATAAACCCGGGCTCTTACTTCTCCTTATGAACCTCCCAAGAGGAGCCTGGGCCCTGGGGAGGCAGGCAAGCGTGGTGCAGGCTAGCTCAGACAACCCCTCTCAGCTTCCCTTCAGCCTCGATTTCTTGGTCGTAACGACTGGTTCATCCACACAAGAGGAGAAACTGTTCTGGGAGCCATAACAGGCCCGTTCAAGCCTCAACCTCCCAGCTCTTACCGAGGGGCACCTGCCCAAAACCTCGTGGGACAGACCCTAAAGGCACCAGCTGGAGCCCCCTGCCCCAGGAAACCCCTCACCACATCCCCAGCACGTGGGCAGACACGTTATTCACGGACCCAGCTGCACCCACGTACCCGCCAGAAGCAGACAACCAAAGCAAATCCCGATTCAAAGTCTGTTTTACTCAACAACTGTCTTCCCACCAACTTCCAAACGCTTTTGCTTAGAACTGAAAACCAGGAAATTCACTCACATGCCCTGTTTTGCACATGCACCCACACACACACACCCCCCAACCGCAAGAATTCTCAGTAACGAGCCTTCAGCTTGTCTCCTTTCACTCCTTTGTCTTTATCATCAACCTCTCAAGCCTGGGCTCTCTGTCCCTCCTGGAGTTCACTGCACGAGAGCAGACGGTATTTCTTGGCATCCCTATATCTCCTCAAATGCCTAATGGAGTTTCTTTCCACACCCACATCCTATCTGGAGATGCCAGGGCCCAGAGTTGGCAGGAGGCACAGGAAAGCAGGTCACTGGGAGCTTCAAAACACCCCACACGGAGCCAGCAACAGACCACGCAGCCTCCAGAGTCGTGGAAACGGGATGATGCTGACCCTTGATCCAAGAGCCTTGGATCCGAGCAGGGAGAACAGAACCAGCGCACGAGGGCGGGGACAGACCCTCAGTACCTGTTGCAGAAGTACACGGCATTGGCTGGGTTTAACTCAATCGCTTTTCCGTAGAAGGAGACGGCAGCTTCAAAGTTCTCTGCCTTCATTTGCTCGTTTCCTGCAGAGGTGGCAGAAAAGCTCGTTAAACAACTGAGAAACGGGGATGAGCAAAAGCAACAGCCCTGGGCCCGGGTTCTACCTCGGGAAACAGAACAGGAGGGAAACCAGGCGCTTGCTGGTTCTGCCGGTCGATCAAAGGGCTGCGGCACGTCCAGCAGCGAGGCGGGGGACCCGCGTCTTCGCCATTCCAGGTTGCCCGAGCCCCCTCCCCAGCTGTCCTCCCCCCTCAGGGCACACCCGAGGCCTCCTCTCCAACAGCACCCCGTCCCAAAAAGCGCCGCAGCGCTGGGCTCTGGCGCTCACCCCGCTCCGGTGACCCCGTTCCGGTGCTGACCCCGCTGCCTCCCCAGGCCCTGCAGCACCTAAATGACACCAACCCACGCGCCCCCCTGGAGCGGGAGCAGAGGAACGAGCAGCAGGGGAAGAGCTGAAGCCATTTGCTTTTCCCCTGATCGAGGTGCCGAGTGAATTAAGCCCCATTATCACCTCAACCTCCCCGCACCCCCTGCTCCAGAGGGGGTTACCTTCAGTTTTGAGTCTTTCAGCTTCCGCTATGTCATCTTCAGAGGGGGTGATGGGCTCCGAGTTAGTCCTGAGGTGTTCAGGCTCCTTCGAGGGAAAGCGAGAACGCCGCCATCAGGACTCTCCCCCGCCCCCATGTGCGGCACCTCCCCCTTCCCGAGCGGCAGCCCAAAGCGTTTTGCTCCCACATGCCTCCGAGGGGGCAGCATCGGCCCAGAAATCAAGCAGAGCTCGTTGCTTGGGCTGCTCGAATGGCAACTCAACCCCCCCGCCCCCCCGTTTTGGGGCGCTCGCTCACCTTCCCCGTAGCAGCTTCAAATATTTCGGGAAGAGTCTGGGACACAGCCAGGCCTTGGTCTTCCATCGAGACCCCGAACGCTGTCTCCAGGCACTGGATGGCCACTAGACCAGAAGAGGCAGGCCATTAGCTTCCCCCACTCCATCTAAATACTGAGCCTCCCCCCACAGCACCTCAGTTTCTCAGTGCTGGAACGTACCAGGGGAAAAAAACCCAGCCTAAACCACACAACTCCCAAACCCGACTCGATATTTGGGCCACATCCTCAAATTCTGCCAAAACCTCAGAGCTCGGCAAGCCTCGGCTCTGGAGATCAAGCTCCTGGATTGAGTCAGTCACAGCTCCCGTCCCCTCAGGTGACTCCAGAGCAGGGGCTGGGGGTAGGAGTTCACCAAACTGGGGCTTTCTCACCTCCCCACAGCTGCAGGTGGCAAAGGGCAAGGAGAGATCTGCCAGAGGGCAGCCGCCCTGCGAAGTGCTGTGGCCACGCAGAGGTGTGCGGCCACCGACCGCCTCCCCCCTCCTCGGGCACCCGGTCGGGAAGCTGTTCCAGCCCCGAGGGGATCCCCAGGGATACAACAGAGCCCGGTTGTACAGAGCTCAGCTTTACAGAGCGCTCGTGCCATGTTTTACAGCCCAAAAGCAGCAGGACTAACCCCCTCCTTCCACCCAACACCCCCCTCCCGCACCCTCCCTCCGTTCCTGCCTCACCCAGGAATGTACCCGCCGCTCTGCAGACGTGCCTGTGCTCCCTTCCAGGGGGACAAACGCACAAGCCAAAGACCAAAGCGTAAGCTCCTTAAGCAGATCTGTTCAGACCAGCGTGCTCTCGTGGCAGTGAAGCCCTCTGGAAAAGCCTGGATAAATACTCCAGGGCGTGTTGTGGGAAAGGGTTTCGATAACAGAACGGGAAAAGCCCTTCCACACAACGACAGAGTTCGCTGCTACGAGCTCCTGACCCCACCTCATTTGAGGTAAAACTCGTACGTCTCAAACCCAGAGAGGCTTTTGATCCCAGGTATATCCCTTCCCTGAGCTAATCTGCTTGTGAAAGATCAGCAGGCAGCACCCCCAATGCACTGGACACCGCCCCAAGGAGACAAATCCATTTCAAATCTTGAGCAAGGTTTGGTGTTCGGAGCAGCCCAGGCAAGTAAGAGGCAGGAGGGAGTAACAGTGTCCAAATTCCCCCCAGTGTTGGGCTGATAGGCCTGAAGGCACAAGCAGGGACACACACACCACCACCCACCTTCCAAACTCTCCTGAGCATCTGGAGACAGACCCCCATTTTGTAGCTGGTCATGCAGAAACTGGATGATGGAGTAGGCGAGGCGCTTCTGGTCTGCCATTCTGTCAGGCTGTGAGCAATTTATTTCAACTTCTTGTAACTTTAAAAAAAACCCTGAAGAGAGAGAGAAGTTACATGACTTGATGGACAAGAAGTCAAAGAGCTTTTCTGCTGCTCTCCCCCCCAGGTGTGAAGGCAGAGGATAAGGGAGTTGTTCCGCCCTGGCCAAGGCCTCCAGAGCCTTCATGAAACTCTGCTGTCACCACGACCCCCTTCACATGAATTCTCTGGGCCTCAATTCACCCTCTTCAGGGTGAGCCACACAGCCCAGTCCCTACAAGGCTCCTGCCAAGGGGGCACTGCAGGCGCTCTGACCAGCCAGGACTAGACAAACGGTGTGGTGAGGAGCTCACCACGAAGAACCCCCCCAGCCTTCTGCTTCCGAAGCATCAGTGGATTCTGCAACAAAGGCAAAGGCTGAAGCCATTTGCCACCGGTAGCAGAGCTGGGCGTCAGGGCTACCAACCCCCTGCGCTGCTTGCCAGCCTACCCTGCCAGGACGCCGACAGTAAAGGAGAGAGAGGACCCAAAGCCAAGCGACCCCCAGGAGCAGACCCCGAGGCTGGGGCTTCCCAGGGCAGGTCCTGCAAGCACGACAGATGCGCTGAAGCACTCCGCCTCCTCAGAGCCCTGAGCCGGGTCTGGGGCACAGAAACCCACCCAGGGTGATTGAACAGAGAAACGGTTTCAATGCAAACCCGGTGGAAGAGCCCACCAGCGCTAAGCTGGGCCCAGCCCACTGGAAGCCACCAGAGGGGCCACCGGTGCCGGCCGCAGACAGGCACCGCGGTGGGTGCCGTGGGCGAAAGCCTGTGCCGGGCTCACAGTACCAAGTGAGGCCACAGAGC